AAAGGATAGAGGACTTTGGGTGCAGTGAATCCACATAACTCGCCAATATGGCAGACTTGGGAATTAAGATCGGCATAGCAAAAAACGAGACTCCCGCCAGACACATCAACATAGAACTGGTACTATTAGCCATCGTCGGACATTGGGGTTCATACTGAGAGGAGGTTCTGAGCATCTATGGACATGTCGGGAGTGTAACTAACTAACTAACTAACTAACTAACTAACTAACTAACTAACTAACTAACTAACTAACTAACTAACTAACTAACTAACTAACTAACTAACTAACTAACTAACTAACTAACTAACTAACTAACTAACTAACTAACTAACTAACTAACTAACTAACTAACTAACTAACTAAAGTAATCACCGCGTCCTGATGTCGAACGTAATTGTTTTGTTGTTTTAAAGCCCCACCCTGGCTGTTGTCGTGGGGGAAATATAGCCTGACGGTTGAACGGGCGATCGTCAACCGCATGGTGTCACTTTATGTCACCGGGTGTTTATCGCTCTGTGTGATGCTCTGATGGGGTAAAATGTACTACTAATACTTTTCCTCTTCGCATTCTACTATTAGCACTGTGTCATCCGCGTATCTCAGACTGTTTATTGTTCTCCCATTTATATCCAGACAATTCCTCAACCTATTTCAAAATGTGACAACCATGACGTATCCATTTAAAAAATCTCTGTCTGTTATGTTATGTTATCACATACGACCGACGTCTTTGTACATTGGGCATCCTCATGCCTGCTCAGTCCTCTGATGCAGCAGCCACTCGAAGGTATCTCTACTGATTGTTCCCATGAGGATTTGGTTATGTTATCTCCTATATACCTCAAAGAGACACAGACGTGCTTCACCAATCTTAACTTCTCGGTCATGCAGTCGTGATAGCGTCAGAGATTCGCTTTTTCCCCCAAATTAGTTCGTTAAGCGTTGCTGATATCAGCTCTGTCTAATCTTTTTCCCGTTTGCATTTATATATTACTTGCCAGCTGGTCAGCTTCTTCATTACCATTTACTCGTGCGCGATGTAGCACAGCTCTCTTCTTCGTTGCGTATGTTGATGTTACACCCAGGTTCGTCTTTAGGTCTGCTACAGGATGAATCGATTGGAAGATTATAGACGAGTAAAAAGATGGTCGTGTCGATAGTGGTGGTGATGATGATGCTGTCTTGCTTGCTACATGCTTATCTGATGCTTGTATAATAAAATGGCTGGGAACACTGTTCTCGTCTATACTGTCTTTATTATGATACTTCAGCAATGACACAAACAATATCAATAATAATCTAAAAGTCGCTATGTTCTCTCAATGGTTACGTACTGTTGAGGTCGCGTTGTGTTCATACTCTTGAGGTCGCGTTGTGTTCTTTATCTCTAATTACTTTGTTAACTGGTTCTAGTGTTTCTAACTGCCACCTGGCTTCTAGTGCGGTTTGGTACTAACGGCTTGATTGTCGGCTTTAACATCTCAATAGTGTTCCTACCTAATGTGTCACTGTTGACCATGGATCCATGCATCTTGTGTCTAGTGTTGAGTTGGCATCTCCACAACTGCGAGGATCATTGAGACTAGTCGCTCGTCCTCTGAGTCTCAACGACTGAAGGCATTCTTTGAGTTGAGCTGACATCTCTACAAGTGAAAGCTGCTTTTATGGTCCAAATGACTGGTCCCTCCTCTCTTGAGTCTTGTGGGCTGAAGAATTGCTAAGGTGCTTTGTTACTCATTATTTATACTTGGATGCTGGAATGCTAGTTATTTGTTTTCTTCTCACTTTTTCTGCTTCTAGAATATTCTAGTACGTCTCAGCTTGTTTACTATGTGCGTTCTCACGTGGGATTTGCTAATTATATCTAGATTGCATCAGATTGCATCATCTTTTTCTGCGCAACTATAGTAGTTAAACTGACAGCTGTCCTTCTAGAAAACAAGAACAATTGCGTTTGCTTTGATAGGGCACGACAACAAGGTATTTACTAGTAAGACAAGGTTGGGTCACATGATGAAACAAACGCATTTCAAAACTTCTAGAAAGAAGGTCAAGGCCAGACAACCTCAGTTTGATGTCAACAGCTAGTTTTGGCGGGAAAAGAAGATTCTGGAAAAGGGAATGTCAAGGTTACCAAAACTTGTTGATTTTCAGTACATCATAACTTTGTGCCTTCTAACAAACAAGGGATAATGTCTCCCTGTTACAGTGATCAGGTGTGTAGATCCAAATGATGAAGGTAACTGCGTCCTTCGAGTGCTTTCTACCCATTCGTAGACTCCCTGTAGCGAATTTTCTGAAGCATGTTCATAGAGTCTGAAAGATTATGCATGTTTGGTTGCTTGTTCTGCTACCCATGCTGCCCATGAGTTCTCTTGAAGCAGCAGCTATCTCCATAGTCATACTTGACGCAGCTGTATGGTTAAAAGGTAAAAGTAGTTGTCCGGTAAGCACCTCTATCCTCTTTTATTGTTTTCCCTATCCTTTGTACTGTGTATGCCCATGCCGATGTTGACCCGCCTTTCACGAACCCATCTGTGTAAATGACGACGTCTTCTTGGGATGAATGCTGATCAATCGGTACTATAATCTCCGCGTCTACTGTGACGGGTATCTGACTCCTGCAGTACCTCCCCAGTGTTATCACAATCTTAGACAAGTCATGCAAGTGAGCTGGTGCATCCGTCTCTTCTTTTCCGCGACTTATCTCGTCTAAGTCACAGACTTGCTTGATTAGATGTTCTGCCTCGGCCATCCAGGAGGAGCCTCTTTTGAGATACATCCCTTTCATACGCGTTCCCTTGAGCACCCGCATGACCTGGCACAAAGAGCAAAAGTTAGGGGAGTCTTTCGCGAAGTGCTTAGTGTTGCAATCCATTCTTGCCGGACAAAACCAGCTTGGATTTTTTAAAGCATATTCACCGAGTCATTAAGTATGCACGCCGCGTGAGTGAACTCTTGAGTACCAATCCATGCTAATGCCCTTGTTACAGCCAGCCTCCATTGTAAGGCTACTAGTTGTAACAGCAAGAGGCTGCGTGGTCTCCAGGCATGGTGTCCGCCTCAAGTGCTAGAGGTCGAACGAACGAAAAAACGAACTTTATTTTCATATAGTTACAAATTGGGCACGCAGGCTCGTCTGACATTCGGCCCTTAGGTCCCGATTCCCATTCCCGGTGAGAGCTGGACGTTTTTCACGTGGACTTCTAGTAATTTCACCTGGTCTCTGGATAGTAAGACCAGACGCCCGTGTGTATTGTTGCGCACGTAAAAAAAATCACTTTGGCAGTTGGAAATCGAAAGGAGTAGCCGACGGCGATGCCCGGGTAAAATCTGAACTTAAAAATCTACCTACAGTATTTCAGGATCCTCGCCGGTGCAATAGAGTTTGTGTACTGAACTGAGATTCTTCAGACTCAAGCTTGAGTTAAAAAAGAATGGAGCACTTATGTATTACACCCGTGTGCCATGATGTTGATCCGTTGAATAAACAAAAACATTTGTAACAGCAAAGGCACCATTCACCTCCTTAATAGTCCTCCCCCTCCCCTTTTCGAGCTTACATTGAATGCCTATACACTTCGCTTGCCTTGAATCACTGATCCGTCTGTGTAAACTACAGTAGAGCCTCGCTTAACGAGCACCTCGCATAACGAGTAATTCGCATAACGAGCAAAACAAATTGTAAAAAAATGACTTGCTTAACGAGTGGCGAGGAGAGGGGAAGTCCCGAATTGTGCGCATGTTACATCAGTCTGTGTTTAGCACTCGTTCCAGTAGCATCGTAGTGTCACTTGTGATCATACATTTTCTCAAACTTGTGTTACATTGTGATATATGTACACGAATCTTCCAGGCCTACAAGATGACCTCTCTGAAGAATTTAAGTTCATCAAGATCCAGTTTCTGCTTCCCAACGCCACTCCGTTACTCCAGCTCATGGACAAGCAAGTTATTTCTAACTTTAAGAAACTCTACACTAAAGCACTCTTCCAGCATTGTTTTCATGTGACTGAAGGGACCAACCTCACTCTCACAGAGTTTTAGAGAAAAATCACGTCCACATCGTTGCCTGCCTCAAGATGATCAAGGCGGGAGAAGGGGTTACCGAGAGAATCTTAACTTCTGCTTGGAAGAAGCTTAGGCCGGAGAGTGTTGTCTATTTTGTGACTTTAAGGGGTTCGAGACAGTGAAACCTGTAGTCAACGAGATGGGTCTTTGGCCACTATCATGGGGTTGTAGGGGGATAACAGTGATATCAAAGAGCTTGTGGAAGAGCACAGCCAAGAGCTGCGTTTTGGAAGAAAGGTTGTCAGAGAAGGAATTAATAGAAAAGCAACAATTTTCTGGCAAAATAAGAAAAATGCTGAAAGCATGGCAAACTGTTGCATCTTACATTGAGAAGCATCGCCCTAATAAAGAAGCGGCTATGCGTGTTGCAAATTTATTTAAGGATAATGCTGTGTCGCATTTTCGCCAAATGTTGTAACGTCGGCAAAAACAAATCTCTGTACATCTTTCAAGTAAAAAAAAAATAAATAACTAGCTATGTATCATAATTATTTCGACTTTTTTTTTCTTGCCAATCGAATTCGCATTCCATGTGGGTTCGTTACGCGTTTGAAGAAAAGATGAAGGTGATCCACTCTCCTTAACAATATGTATATAATTTTCTTTGAATAAACGTTATACATAGCATTTTGTGAGTATCTTTTTCGACATGGAACGCATTATCGTATTTTACATTAATTTATATGAGAAAAATTGTTTCGCATAACGAGTGTTTCGCTTAACGAGTATGATTCTGTAACGAATTATGCTCGTTAAGCGAGGTTCCACTGTATAACATCACCTTCATCTGTGATGTGGTTTTAAATGGTGATCAAGGGAAGCTACTCAGAAAAAAGTAGGCCTGAGAAAAGCCGGCTCACTCCCGGTAAAACAAAGCTAGATTGAATCACAGTTAAATTAGAATTACCAAGACGAGCGGTGGCAATATGTTTCAGCCGCCTGTAAATATACGGAGAGTTTTCAACTGGGTGGCGATACTGAGCCTGTTTATATTTGGCATTAATTACTGGCTAAACCACAAATATTTTGTGTTTGATGAGGAAAGCATAGCTTCCATTTCGCGCAGACATGTTGGTAGGTACCTCATCATCATCTTCTTCAATAGAACATTTTGAATCAGCAATTAATAACATATTTAAGAGACACGGTTACGAATACCAGCATAAGAAAAAAAGTCGGAATAAGACCATGTCTGAATTATATTGACAGGCAAAGAATAAAATGGTTCAGCCATCTAGTGAGAATGCAGCCATGGCAAACTGCATGACGAGACTTTTTACAGCAGAACATCTGGGAAGAAGACCAAGAAAGAAATGGATATTTTGTTTAGCCGAAACCTGCAGAAAGATGAAAAAATCCATTACCCAAACGATCGTAGCAGCGTAAGACAAATACAGAAAACCACAACACTAGGCTACAACACTGTATCAGTGAGATGAAGAAGAAGAAGAAGAAAAAATAATATTTGGTAGGCCTACCTACACATTAAAAATAAATAAATAAAAACTGCATATTTAAGATGCCAGCACAGATACTTTGTAATTGAAAGGCCAGTCTTCCCTGTGGGTTCGATTAGCTTTTATGACGAAAATAATAATAATAATACACCCACTGATCCCTAACAAGTATTTCGCTAAAGGTGACTTATTTGGGTAGTCAGTTTCCTTAGAAGTCGGGTGCATTCGCCTGAGAGGCAATGAACCAACAGTTTGCATGCAATCGGACCATACTATAACAAATGACGGATAGAATCATTGTGAGGCTTCACCTAACATTTCACACACATCTCCATGACATGACTAACCCGTTCTTATTGCAGGAAGACAACTATAATACCACTATGGTCACACGCAGAATATTTTCACATTTCGGGTCTTTCCAAACCCAAAAACTGTTTTTAGTACTTTTCAGCAAAGTAAAATACTCAACATTTTAAAACAATAAATGATAGCGACCTAACATAGAGGAAAGAAGCATTAAGCCCAGAGATGACGCAAATACCAGAACTTTAGCCACGAAAGTGGCGCAAAAAAAAACAAGACCACAAATATAGCGGGAGACAGCTTCGGCTGGCTAGCAGCAGGTTGAACGTGGTTGAGTTTCTGATTTTGTCTTAAAGAGGAAATAGAATTGGAAGTTTGCATGCACATACGCCACATCTGTAAAATGGATGCTCAAGCAGATCTCAAGTTCTGGAGCAAGACTCAAGTCCAAAAGTAGACCTACAACCAGAACAACCGGGGAATGCTAAAACAAAGAGGAAGAAATAAAGGTTAAAGTCAAGAAGATCAACTTCATTGCACCAGTCTTTATCAGATTCGCTGGGTCTCTCTTCACAGGATTGATAGCCATCTTCTGAGGGCATTGCACAAAGCACGAACTCCATAGCTGCAATGATGATCCCATTGATTTTGTAAAAATTGCACTCCTGAACCAAAAGAATCAGCCATGAAACGAACCCATGACCTTCAGAGCGTAAGGCGAACATCATGACTATTTCGCCAAGGAGACCCCCTAAATGAATGTTTAATTAATAATCGACATCACAGCCATCGGCACACTCCCATGAGTGCTCCATCCCCCACTTAATCAGTAAGGGAAGAGTTCCAGTTCTCATTACACCAGTAACTGTCTGATTGTATATCTTTCTTACCCTTCCCCTGAGTGTTGAGAGTCGGCCAGATCCTCTGGTAACTCCTCGCGGCGCCACTCTCCTCAGACTAATAATCTATCTGTGCCTCCGCAGTGTTCATTCGTTCTGAAAGGGCCCTCACAAAATCTAGCTTGGCATACATCAATTCACCACCAAGTGGTGCAGAGCCAACCAGTATCTCTGTCTGCTTATTTCCCAACACACCAGCATGACCTGGAGAAAATATCCAAAGGATGCTAACCATCAGGAACTCTGAAGTGATGCTTGCCACTCTGCACGAAGCATGCACGTTTTCACCTTTCTCAACATGCTCTGTGAGTCAGTTACAATCCCAACATGTGTGTACAGCTGATTCTCAAGCCAGCGGAAGGCAGCAGTGACTGCCTCCACCTCCATTCTTAAAGTAGATGTGATATCATTTGCCAGGCCTTGTTATACTAAGCGACGTCCATTTGCCTTTGCTATGAACCCCATGCACTTCATCTGCTGCTCAACACAGAGCCATCTGTAAAGATAATCAAATCTCTTGGGGGGGGGGGGGGGGGGGATCATCTTGAATAGAGACCCCCAAAGAAGAAGAAATAGCAATGAGGACATTGATGGATGTCAGAGAGCTGAGAAAGTGAATCTCAGTGGCACATCATTTGAGGCAGTACCGTGCGCGCTGTTGTCCCTGGGGCTGCTGCCTGAAGGTTAGACGCCCTGAGATTACAAATTTTCACTCTGGATGGCAGGCCATCAGGGCAAATTCCAGATACCCTGTTCAGTCTCCGCAGTTATAATTGGGGCACCCATAACAGGCTGGTGTAGCCTAGTCTAGTATGGGTATGGAGTTGTAAAGTTGGCTTACTCCACTTTGCGGCGGGTGTAGTAAGCTTGTCCTATTGTAATTAATGACAGTTACACAAAGAAAAGTGTTTAAAAAAGGACAGAAAATGTCACCATTACAGAGAAAGTTGGAAAAAAGACGATGTCTGAATTATGTTGAAAGAGAGAGTGTAGAGAGATTGGACTATCTAGTGAGAATGCAGCCAGACCAAACAATAGAAGACCTTCTGCAGAAGAACATCTTGGTAGAAGATGAGAGGAAGACCAAGAAAGAGAAGAATAGATACTGTAGCTGACGCCTGCAAAAAGTTGAACAAAAACATTATTTAGGCCATCTGAGAAGCACAAGACAAATACAGAAAACCTGGAACTGGGCTTCAACTCTGGACTGAATGGCATGCGTCAGCATACTGGACCTTGTTTCACCCCTTCACCAATCAAAATAATGGATTATAGAACACTGCTCCTCTTTGATGCATGTCATAAGTGTGGCAGACTTCAAACTTTCATTATTTTTCTATCACTGTGTCCGCCTGCTTAACACTCTTGACATCCTTAACAATATTGACAGATTACAAGACAACAGCATGGTTATTATAATTTCTATCACAATTTTAAAATTTCAGTTTGAAGCCCCTCATAACTGTAGGCTGCCTCAATATAAATATTTCGTATGTTCAAACAGGGTTTCTGCTATTTGCTCCTGTTAGATTCACATCTGGATATTGGCTCATTGAGCCACCAGGTGTCAGTCTTTTGTTGTGCGCTGCAGTCCTAAAAGGGAAACAACTGAAGGAAAAAAGGATTTTCACTCATTGTACAGCTGGTAAAAAAGCAGCAATGTGTTACTTACCTTATCCAGCCTGTTTGTCATTGCAGCCTCTGCCTCAGACTTAGACATTGATTCTGTATATGACCGAGTGCTTCAAGACCTCAGGGCTAAATACAAAGGACACATTTTGCCTGACAGTGATTTGCAGTGGATTTTTATGAATGCTGGTGGCTGGATGGGAAGTATGTGTCTGCTGCATGCATCTCTGACCGAATATGTTCTCTTCTTTGGCACAGCTGTTGATACTACTGGACATTCAGGTATGTGTGTTCATGTTGATAGTACAACATTTGTTTAGGAAGCACTGTAGACAAAAATAGGGAAACATGTAGAGATCTAAAAAATATGAATGCTTAAAGGCAAGAGGAAGGGAAATTAAGCCTGTATAGGTAAAATAAAACATCAATAAAAAAATAAAAGGTAGTAAAGGTCTCTTTGTCGGCATCTGTGGCTTAGGTGTTGCGAACACGCTTCATAATGCCGGGGTGCCGGGTTCGATCCCAGCTATGGACGATTTGTTTTGCGCTGGTTTCGACAGTGGTACCGAGAGCTAACCGTTAAGTAAGCAATGGCAAACTACTAAATGTAATATCTGCAACGTCCTCTAAAGGATACGCACCTAAGTAAAAAGGTCTGTTTACTTGCCAGCGGCATAGTGGCGATGTCTGGCGGGTTGAGGATGTTTCATATAGCGTGACATGAGGTATCTCTTGTACAGCCTAGGATAAGTCTCATAGTTTCAGTTTGCACATTGTCTAGTCTTTCTAGCTGATATCTGCTTACTAACTGTGGAGTGTGGAGGACAAGCCTATAGTCAGTCACTGGGAGCACCAAACTAGGATAAAACGTAAGCAGCAGTCTTTGTTCCATCTTAGCTGTTGCTGTCACCCCGAGCCAGGCCTTTGTTAACTTTTAAAATGACTTCATCAACATGAAATCAAAAGGACAGACATCTATCAAAGTGGATACCTAGAATTGAAGATCTAGATCCATTTCAATATCATCTGCACACTTACTGACTATGGGTTTGGGCACCTGGATACCTAGATATTGAAGATCTAGATCTATTTTGATATCATCTGCACACTTCCTGACTATGAGTGTGGGCACCTGGAGACCTAGATATTGAAAGTCTAGATCCATTTCATTATCATCTGCACACTTCCTGACTATGGGTTTGGGCACCGGGATACCTAGATATTGAAGATCTAGATCCATATTAATGTCATCTGCACACTTACAGACTATGGGTGTGGGCACCTGGATACCTAGATATTGACGATCTAGATCTATTTTGATGTCATTTACACACTTACTGACTATGTGCGTGGGCATCTGGATACCTAGATATTGAATATCTAGATCCATTTCGATGTCATCTGCACACTTGCTGACTATGTGTGTGGTCACCTTGACAACTCTTATTGTTTAGTGAGCACCATGTCACTGTAGCTGGGTTTACTCTAACCTCTGATTCCCCACACCATCTGGTCAGTTGGTCAAATTCGCTGTCTCTTCTGTATGTGCGCTGCTGATACATCAGTATGTCATCAGGAAAGGACATAATGTGCCCCAGTGCCATACTTTTAAAGGCAAGTTACCCCTGTAGTGTACATGTTAAATAGAATAAGTGACACAATGATGATAGGAATTTAGGAGTTAAATTGGGGTTTTCGGATTGGACAGAAAAGTGGGGAGACATTCATAATAATGAGATGACTTAGGATATAGATTAGGGCAGCCCAAGGAATACCCCATGTGCGAAGCAGAGAAGAGTTGAGAAATGAAATAATCCCATGATAGGAGTGGATGTGTGAGCGAAGGTAATTGAGTGCATGAGTATGAGAAAAGATTTGTGAGGAGGCAAAAATGTGAATAATTTGTTGGACGGGACCCCAAACATAGAGGTTGCTAGTGATATTTGTCTCATCCAAGATTTGTGTGAAGTTGTAGAAGAAATACTGAAGTTTTAAAAGATTTGAACTCAATGAAGATTAGCTATTAAACAGCATCTTGTCTCGGAAGCTGAACAATTTTGCTGAAATCAAACGCCATCATGGATTGGAAAAAATAAAACCAGAAGGCATGGTATCAGGAAGGAGGGGCAGGAGTAACCAACATGGAGACGGGCACAAGATATGTGACTCCTTGAATATGAAAGTGCACGAGCCAAGGAAAGCAGGCGAGAGACCGAGTCTTTTTCAGTCAGACCATACTGAGAGCGATGTTCTGCAAAGGGCCTGCCAAATGAAGTGTATGTACGTGTGGAAAAGGGGGGGGGGGGGGTCTTGTTAGCATCTATTTAAGAAGATGAGTCATTTGTCTGTCTGAATGTGATTTTGCAGCAACAGAATACCAGCTATAGTCACGATCGCACTGCAACTGATAAATGAGTGTGCTGACAATTTTGTCTAGGTGGTAACTATTTAGTGTTATTTCTTGGATGATCACATCATGTGGGATACAATAATTAACCATCTAGTGGTGTAGCAAGTGACTGGGATAGAGAGACAGATGTCGGTGGTAGCCTTGTGAAATAGGCTTAGTAAACTGTGAACATCATTAGATGGCCTGTTGTTTGGGGACACCAGCAGTAACCAGTAGACGAGTCATTACACACGTCTTATCTCAGAAACCCAGACACTTCAGCTGTACTAAATGCATCATTGTTTAAGGAGCACAGTAGTGGATGGTTCCTGCTTGAAAAGATAGGTTAACCAGCATGACGGTGGACACAGGATATCAAAGACACCTTGCACTTTAAAGTTCACAAGCCAAAAGATCAAGTGGATTTTTGGTGTATCGTGATGAGAACAATATTATGCGAAGGACTACTGCTTGATAATGATTAGCAGAGTTATAGAACACCGCCTTGTATGGAAGGCCTTGTCCAGGAAGATCTTCCTAACATGACACTGAAAGACAACAGAAATAGCTCACTTTCCTTGATATAACCACTTTCTATTATTTGTAATGTTGAGTAAATTAAAATCATTATCGTTGTCCAATTTCTAAATCCACAGGTCGTTATTGGGCAAACATCTCAGATACGATACTTACCGGAACATTTTATCAGTGGAAGGAAGGGACATTACACAGGAATGTTTATCAGCCAGGTAGGCATATGGGCCATGTTATATGGACCTAGATTGAGTTAGTCTGCTACCATTGTGAAATGGTTAGTCCTTTCAACTTCAGAATCCTTAGTGGGGGGGGGGGGGGCGGGGGGGGGGGGGGGGGGGGGGGGGGGAGGGGGGGGGGAGAACCCGGGTAGTTCTAGAAACAAAGTTTTTGAATAAACAGCCATTTTAAATAGGTCACTAATGAATTAAGAAGAAAATTAATTACTTGCCCACATTTTAATTCTTTGAAAAAGAATAAATATGAAGGAGAGGACCAGTAAACATGAATGGGCATTTCCCCCCCCCCCCCCCCCTTTTTCCCCCTTTCCACCACCACCACGACCAGTCCCTGCTGTTTTCAGAAAATATAATTATACCCAGCCTTCCTAAACACTGAACCAGCACAAACAGAACCAATATCTTTAAATAGGCTTTATGGTGACTGACCAATGCAGCAGTCCAGATTTAAGATTTTTAGGGGATGACATTGCAGGATTAGCTAAATCCCAGGGCCAGAGGGTTAAAATATATGTCTAATACTGTGGGTTGGATTTTGAAATCCTATCTTCAGTTTGCAAGTACAGATTTTCAGAGATTCCATGTAATCTCCTGTGAAAAGTTCTGGTGGTTTATCCACTTCTGGACTTTGGTCTTGTTCCAGAATTTGAGTTTTGCATACACATGTGACTCTTATTTTCTCTAAAATCTGGCCCTGAAACCCACACATGAGTAATGCAGATTCAAACCCTACACGTGTGGGTCAACAAGCAAGTGTCTAATGGCTATGCTTTCACTACTCCCTTTTCATTAATACTCTCACATGGCTAATCAGTGACACTTTAGGCGACAGGAGTTCACTGGATGGAGCTGACGGGTACTTAAAACACCTGGACAATGGGCATGGACTTGAAACACTGATTGCCTTATAGTTTAGGGCAGAAGCTATATATATATTAGAAGTTAGAGGATGCGAGTGCTTACACAACTTCGATGAGATTTTGGAACAGCGCGTCCTGAAGCCTAGCAACCGGCCTTCCCTAATACTTTCCGCTAAAAACCGGATAGGGCTAGTTACATTTAACTCATGGATTACTAGTTTTGCAACCAATCAAAGTGCCCTGTTCGACCAATCAATAGAACGTACCAGAGGGCGCTTTATCTTTTTGGCGCATGCGCATGGCTGGCGTCACGTGGGTCGTCCATTTTGAGCGGAAGCCGCCATCTTCCGGTCTTTGGAGTTCCAAACGTGGTCGAGTGAAGATCGGTAGTTTTCAAGTTCAGTATTCAGATTAGCGAGTGTAGTTCTATATTAATTCGTTCTGGATTACGGTAGTGATTTCTGACCGATCTGAGGGGGTAAGTTGGCACTCTTTTTCTAATTGTGAAACTTCTGTAAGTGTACCCTTTATTTCTATTAATGTAGCATTATATTAAATTGTTATCCCTGAATTTGCTGGCTGGAGTTCGGGAATTGAACCGATATAAAAATATATATGGCCACGTGCGTTTAACCTTACCTTTACAAGTTAGTACTGAAGCTAATATTTAAATGCGGTGTACTTTGTAAACCATCGTAACTGAATTATATTAATATTTAATTCAGTTAATAAATTCTGAAGAGCCCAGAGAACCAGCAAATTCGGGAAACCACGTGTTCCTTTTTTTGCACACGCTTATCAGGGCTTTTACTATCTTCCCCCAGCCCTGCGGCATTTTTCATAACACCAAGGACTCAACGATTAGTACACAATTGTACCCATTGTCATGTCGCCATAGAATCGGCACAGACAAAGAGACAGTTTAAGGGATTTAATCCCAGTATTCATAACCGACTACTAGTCGTAATTGTAACCGACCACGTGTCGAATTTTCTAAACGACCACGTGTCGTATCTGAACTTTAAGAACATCAGCGGTGGATTATCTACAAGAGGATATCACAAGAAATAAGATCTACAAGAAGCCAAGTGTTCCGGTTTCCCCATCAAGTCCAGCCTTTGGGAGTATCCACGGGTGAGCTGTACTCGTGCGGGGAAGGAACTGGACCCAGTAGACATTTCTCTTATGATGATAACCATTTGGTTTAAAATCAAACACCAAACCACTGTCAATTTGTAGCCAGTCAGCTGTCAGTAAAATTAAAGCGACATCATTCTTCATTCACTACTATTCTCGTCTGTCTTTGTTGCTGTGCGTGAGTAATAGTTGAGTGAGCGAGAAAGGGGCATTCTTCGCTTTCTTTCTCTGGGGGCTCTTTCTTTAAAAGTGGCAGAGGAGTTGCCACCAGGATACCTAGTCGGCCTAGCACCACCCATCGGAGCAGGGTAGACTTATCTTCCTGTCCTCTGTCCCAGGAGCAATATCTCGGTCTCTCTACCCTTGTAGACAATGAAGTACCATACTTCTAGTGAGCCACACTTATAGACTGAAGATACCTCCTGTATAGGAACCCTACCCTTCCTAGGGCCCTCCTATAGTTGTGACAACTGGTACGCTCGTCCGGGATTTTACCAGAGACTATTTCCTAGTAGTCTATAGCTTTATAGGTACTGCACAACTGTTTAATAAGACTGAGCTAAAAATTGATGGTTTAAAATGTTTGTGTAAAATGATTCAAAATTTTAAGTAGTTCAGTTCCAGACCTGGTGTTTTGTTACATACTGTTGTTGTTACGTTACGTATCTGTTGTGACGTGTATAATACATACAGTACTATTTGGTGTTCTACTATAACTGTCAATCATAACTGCTAAGTGATTCTGTTGCGTTGATCTGGTTTTTCTGTCTACTCTGCCTACTAAACAACTTACCCTTCAGGTCATTGATAGAAGCCACTACCTATAGTCATGCCTTTCAAAAGACCAACTATGGCTGAGATAAGGGAAATAGGAATAGAGCTGGGGCACGAGGGTGAAGAGTTAAAAAGGTACATGCAAGATGTAGATAGAGAATACCGGGTGGATGAAAGAGAGTATGGTAAGGCTGAAGCAGAGGCTAAGGAAAGAGCCTTAATTCGAGAAGAAGAAAAGGCAGAGAAAGAAAGGGAAAGGGTAGAGAGAGATAAAGAAAGGCAACATGAAATTAGACTTCGTGAACAGGCCCCAATACCCTCCTCACCGATTCCCAACTATTCTTTACCTAGCCCTGAGGGTTCATCTCAGAATAATCTTGTGGGGGCCCTGAACTTCCCCTTGATGCACTTCGATGAAAAAGCAGATAAAATAGACACCTACTTAGAGAAATTCCAAAAGATGGCTGAGAACTACGGGCTGGAAAAAGAGAAATGGAACTTTAAGGTTTCTCAGGGGCTTCGAGGAGTAGCTTATGATGTTTACAATCAGTTACCTCGGGGTCAGGAAAATGACTTTGAGGCATTAAAGCAGGCACTTCTCAAAAGATATGAGCTTACCTCCGGAGCATATAGGCATAAGTTTCGAACAGCCCAACGGCAAGCGGGTGAATCGTTTAGCCAACTGCTGAGTAGACTCCAAAGCTATCTTTCAAAATGGATGACTTTAGGGGGTCATGATCACTCATACGATGGGTTGGAAGAAATGGTGCTGGCTGAGCAACTGAGGGAGTGTATGTCGAAACCTATGCAGACTTTCTTAACAGAGAATGGGGCTGAACGCTTAGACGACATGATTACTCTTGCAGAACGCTATCATGCAGCCCATGGGGAAGTATCTTTTAAGCCCAAACCCCAACCCACCTTTGAAAAACCTCCGGTGAAAACACCCGTACAACCTTATAAAAATGCCGCAAAGGGGCCCAAACCCCAACATAATCAAAATCAAAAACCCCAGCCGCAACTAGCGTCGGGGTGGAGAAATCCATACTGCAAATATTGCAAGGTTAATACCCACTACACGGCCGAATGCCCGAAAAAACCTGCCCCTCAGTACGCGGCATGTGTGGCAGCTGAAAAGCCTCCTAGTGTACTCTTCCCTACTACGAGGAGACCACCCGTGGTGGAAGTGATCTCAGTCAACCGACAGAGAGTCGATTGTCTCTATGATACCGGCCTCCAGTATGATAGTTTAATTGCATCATATCTGGTAGAACCTGGCCAGCTAACTGGAGACACTATTAAAGTCAGCGGGGCTACCAAGAGTTCCCCCACTATGACTTTGCCTATAGCTTTAGTTGAAGTGGAGTCCAAGTATGTTACTGGGACTGTATCCGCTGCTGTGGTAGATGATCCGATTTATCCTTTTATCCTAGGGTGTCGGTATGTTTATTTAAGTGAACCATCTACTCCCATAGCTCTCGCGGCTGTACAGACCAGGTCTCAGGCTAAAGATAGCCTAGAGCCTGTTCAACCTTTAAACCCCCTTCCGGGGTGAAATAAGGGCTGCCCAAAAACAGGACCACACTCTTCAACCTTGCTACGGAAAGTTGCCCAAAGCCCAAACCCCTCCTAGTAAGGGAAACTTTTATGTCAAAAGTAATTTGCTGTACCGTAGGGCAGGAAAAGATGGAGACGAGTTTGGTCAACTTGTTGTACCTTCCCCCTACCGGACGCAAATCTTGCACATGGGACATACTATCCCATTCTCTGGACATATGGGGATTGGGGCTACACAGCAACGTATCGCCTGCCATTATTACTGGCCGGGGATGAATGGGGACATTAAGCGGTATGTAAAGTCATGTCCAGAATGCCAAAGGGTAGCTCCCAGGCATTGGACAGTTCCAGTAACTTTAGGTGACATGCCATTGATGAACACTCCATTTGAGAGAGTGGCAGTCGACATAGTCGGTCCACTCCCTCGCACCAAGAAAAGAAATTCCTTTATTTTAACTTTGGTGGATACCTGTTCGATGTGGGGGGAGGCGATTGCCCTACCCGCTATCGATTCAAAGCGAGTAGCGGAAGCACTCGTGACCATTTTCACAAGATTGGGATTTCCCAATCAAATTTTGACAGACAACGGCTCACAGTTCCGAGGGAAACTGATGGGAGAAGTCTTCCAGATTCTACAAACCCGGCATA